GAGAAGCCGACGGACCAGGGGAAGACAGCAGCAGAGGTACGGGGGCAGCGGAGCAATGCAGCGCTCTGTGTCCCCGCAGCCTCCGCCAACACAGGTGGGGAGAACAGCGGGGATTTGAAGGGACACAGGCCTCCTGCAGCCACATGTACCGGCAGCTGTATGGGGGTCGAACATTTTTTTTTTTAACTCAGTACAGTTTTATTTTTTAGTTTTAGGAGGAATCTTGTAACATGTTTTTTTTTGTGTGCTGATATCGAAAATATTGATTTGATAAACGTTTGCGCAACTGTTGCGGGACTGTTGCGGGACCTACAAAATTAGTAGCACCATCTTTTTATTCTACTGGTCTTGTGCTTTCAGAAAATGTATGGTTTGGGGGGGGGGGTCTTTTACAAACGCTAAAAGCTGCAGTTCAAAATTAAAAAAAAAGGTGAAAAATGTAAAAAATGGTCTGGCCAACTGAGGTAAAAAGTGTTAGGCAGTGCTTGGGAAAAGGGCATGATAGCTAGGGGGAAAACTCTGTGGTGCCCTCTTCTTTAGGTGCTCTAAGCACATGCTTGTTTTGCTTAATGGTTAATCCAGCCCTACTAGTAAGACTTCTCTTGTCTGTACAAAGTGAACAGGAACAGTGCAGTGTGTAGAGCTGTGTCAGTATACACCCCTCCCAGTCCTAGTCAGCTGCACTCCCTCCCTTTGCTCAGTTCCTTTTTTCAGTATGTGTTGTTGTGTGCTCTACTTATATAAGGCAGGCTGTCAGCTCATTCGTCCGGTGTCAGTCTGTGCGTGCAGTGACTTACTACCCCTAACATGGCCCGCATACCCTTATTCTTGCTGCTGCTCTGGGGCTCCTACTCATCCTCGGTGCAGGACTGGGCAGCCCCTCGTTATAACATCAGCCTGGACCTACCACCCGAGCAGCGTTGGAAGGAAGTCATCTCACAATACAACCATACCTTCCTCAAGGAGAGCATGGAATTCATCTATACGTAAGTCTTTTCTTTAGTTCAGGGAAGTGCTGGTGAAACTCTAGCAACCTTTCACTATGGCGCATGCAGTCTACGAATTCAAGGAACATTTTTAATCCGAAATGAGTCTGTAATATTCTTTATGGTTCAAAGTGTTCTTGGATTTGACAGAGCTGACATAAATGCATTCGGCTAGTGCAGACATAAAGCTGGATGGAAGTAGAATTTACTTGGTTGCCAGTGGCAACCAAGTCATTTCTTCTTCCATCCAACTAGCCACAGGAAACATCATTATTTGCTTTATAAGAAATGGTCTGGAGGTGTGTGGTATCATAGCTCCCAACTGTACTTATATGGAGAGACAGTCCCTCTTTTGGAGCAAAATCTCCAATCCTCATTCACTCAGTTGACCTTCCTCTTAGATGGATAGATTTGTATAAATAAATGTACTATTTAAGCAATCCCCTGCTGCACATAATTGCCCCATGTGCATGAGTCCTTAAAGTGCACCTGTTAGAAAAATGATGTACACTTCCATTGCTTAAAGGGGTTCTAAACCCTCCCGTTGTTTTGCCTATATCTACTGCTACCAAGCAGTAGATATAGGCAAACAGTTTAAAAAAAAAAAGAGAGGTGTCAGCGCTGGATCGGAGAGCCGCCGCACCGCTGGAGAGAAGGCTGAAAACATCAGGAAAGAAGAAGATCGGAATAAAAGACATAATTTAAGGTAAGTGCTAACATTAACATGGGGGGGGGAGGGAAACATTTTTTTAACTTTAATGTCACTTTAACATTCGTTATGAGATTTATATCTTCCCTGGCTGTCATTTGAATGCACAGGTTTCACAGCTTTCTGAATCCTGGATCAAGGATAAAGATAAGAAATTCTGACATGGTGGTAGGGAGTCCCCCAGAGAGAATAAAAAAAACATTAGATGAAACAGTTCACATAACTCCAACTATAACTGAATAATTAACTTTTGGAAGACTGACCCTTTAAGGGCCAGTTAAAGTGGACATTCACACAATTAACACACTTGCTACCACCCCATCTCTTCATCTCTGTTAAAACTACAGAGCAACTCATAAAAAATGTATTATAGTTCACAATGTCATATGCTTTATGGTGTGAACAATCCCTAGATTAGTCGTAGAAACTCCATCCTAAGCTTATGAATAATATGTCAAAAAAGTTTCTGATCTTGTCTTTGTTGATTTTACTGATGGAGATTGTATTGAGATGACAAAACAATAATAATAGTAATTATTAATAATAATAATAATAGTTAAATAAGGAATTTAACGAAGAGCTACCCCCCTCTTTAAATGCCTGCTCTTTTCCTGGCAGGAAGTTCACATTGCCCTGATTCCTAAGGATCAAAAGGACCCAACACAATGTGCTAGCTGCAGGCCCATATATACCTGATTAATGTAGATTTAAAAATGTATGGCAAAATGCTATCCTTCCACCTTCAACCACATATGTGTGCTATTCACCGCATCATGAAGCCTGCAAAATCATAATTAAGACAATTTCACTTGTCCACTTTGCCCGTTCCTGAAAAATCTCTGGATGACAAAAAGGTGTTCGATCATCTCGATTGGGGATTCCGTAAAGCATTCTTGGTGCAGATTGGCCTCCTCTCCTCTTTTATAAACACATTTTTGGCTTTGTAATCTTGTCCAACTGACAGAATTCTGGTCAATGGCCTCCTATCCACCCCGGTATCTATCACTAATGGGACACTCCAAGGCTGTCCATTGCTCCCATTTTTGGGTGTCTTGAAACACCAAGGAACAGCTGACCAATACCTTGAGAACAAATAGTTATATGAAGGGCATTGTGGTAAGGGATAAGTCTCATAAACTAAGTTTTTTTTTTTGCAGACCTACTTCTCTATATCTCTAACCCGAAAATGTCCTCCCTCCTGAAGGCTTAGTAATTTTTGGAATGAATGGCTCAAAGTGACAGTGCCTAGATATCTCCCTTCCTGTGTGGAACAGTATATTCCTTCAAGCTAGATTCCCTTTCCGGTGGGCAATCCGTTCCATTAGGTACCTTGGGCTGCATATCTCGGCACATGAGGGTGATGCATTTGATCTTAATTACTTGCCTTACTGGCTGCCACGTAATGTAGACTGGAGCCATGGGCTTTCAAAAAGCATTTCTGGATGGCACTCTTTAAAATGGATGTCCTCCCTGTTTTCTCTACCTTTTCCAAACCTTGCCCATCGAGATTCCTTGTTCTTTTTTTGTACCCTAAAATCAGCTTTGATCTGCTATTTGTGGTCCCGCTTACCTTCTTGGCTGCGACATGACATCTTAGTTAAAGGCAAGCTGGATGGGGGAGCGAGACTGCCGCATATGCAACTATATTACATGGTGGTGGTCTTGAGCCATATCACTAGCTATCATGCTAGCACTAAATTATGTGTGTCCATAGAATAGTGTGCTAACCCCCTCCTGCTTATGTCCATCCCATGGGTCCTACGAGACCTAACTCCCGAAAACATAGTTTGCGTTCATGTTGTGTCACTAACCTTTTAACATTCTTCTGACTCATGCCTTTCCCAACCGCCCTTTCTATACCAGAGAATGGGAACAAGAATTGGGTATACGATGTTGGAAGTAGATTAGGACAAATCTTTTGTTTTTACTTTTAAAACTAGTATATCAAGCCAAATACAGAGGAATTTCAAGATATTGACTAGGTGGTACAGATGCCCTGCTGCCTTACATAGGATATTTCCATCTTTATCTGATTGCTGCTAGAGATGTGGGACTGAGGAGGACACCATGTTCCACATTTGGTGGTCCTGTCAATAGAATTGACCTTTTTGGCAGTTTGTTTTCAAGATAGGAACTTAAATTATTGTAATAGACTGTCCTGAATCTCTGGGGGTGGCATTACTCTCCATCTTTTTAGGAGCCCTCAAGGCTGTCGAGAAAGGTATTTTCTACTTCCTTGTATTCTCAGGCAAAGCCTTAATTCCTAGGCACTGGAGGTCAACCTTGGTCCCACAGGTGCAGGAGTAGGTAGGTGAACTTAATCAGGTAATGAGGATGGAGGAGCCTATGGCCCGCCTTCATGACCGCTACTAGAGTTTGTGGCTTTGTGGAGCACTTGGACAGATTTTTCCTCTTCAAAGCTTGAAGAGTTCCTGCAATCTGTGTATAGCTGCCATTGCGGCAAACTTTCATTATTGGATGTATCTTGACCTGTTTCCTCCCTTTTCTTCTTTTCTTTCTTGTGTCTCTCTTTTTTGTTGTTGTTGTGTAT